TGCACCTATAAAATAAGCTGTTCTTTGTATATTGTAGTCCTCTTCACGCTGCATCTTCTGGTATATTTAGGTTTTTTAATACAATGTAATAAGTAATGGAAAAATGAAATGGAAATTTTTCCTTTTTTTTGTCCGAGGGGGACTTAACTATGATTGTATTATCAAAGAAATTGGATAAGTAGAGATTTTTAAAACAAAATAAATTAAAAAAAAGTTTTTTCTCTACTGAAAAAACTTAATATATATAAATCCTCGATCGAATCTATCATTCGTATTGAATTTCTCTAGTAATGTCCGTTTCAAAATAGATTGCGTCCCACTATTTTTTGAATAACTCAAGAACGCAATCAGCTAGAGACCTGCGGTTTTCACCAATCGAAAGAAGAGACAGGGGGGCGTCTTTTTCTCCAATATCGTATCAGACGGAATCATTTTGAAACCAGTCATATCTGCATAACATCGAAAAAATGGTCTGTCATTCAGATGAAATTTTGACAAAAAGTAAAGAAATTCATAGTTTTCTTGGGAGTAAATAGACGATTTTATTTGCTAAACGTTAGGATGCGGTAAGATAATCATTCGAATTATATCCTGAAGTATAGATCCGAAGTCTCTCTATCTAGATCACATGTCAAAAGCAAAAATTTCTTCAGAATGCCGGGTCGTTTTCATGCATTTTTTGCAATGTTTTGCAGAAATGACTGATTCTAAAATGATTTTGTCGGATACAATATTAGAGAAAAAGACGTCCCCCTGTCTCTTCTTTCGATTGGTGAAAACTGCAGATCTCTAGCTGATTGCGTTCTTGAGTTATTCAAAAAACAGTGGGACGCATTATATTTTGAAACGGACATTAGATTCGAATATTTATTGAAAATATTTCTTAAAGATTGTCAAATATTTAAATATTAAAAAAAAATGTATGTATATAGCTGTCAACGTTCAAACTGAGATTACGTCCAATCTCAGATTGGCCTAGGCAAATGTCGGATTGACGTAATTCTATTCACTAAAATATCAATAACTATTTATTGTGAAAATTTTTTATTAAATTTTTTAGTCTAATTTTAACTTTTTCCTAAATGCTTGTAAAACTGGAAACGGCATTGTGCGAACATAATTTCAAAACATAGTTCGAATCCAACGTCTATCAAAAAAGTTATTGATATTTTAGTGAACAGAATTGCGTCGATCCAACATTGGACACGTCCAATCTCGGATCTGAGATTGGACGTAATCTCAGTTTGGACGCCGACAGCTATATATATCTCAACAAGATTGATAGATTTAAATCAGAGATGGACAAGCTCCGATCGCTTCAGAGCACTTTTCGGTCGGCGCACTAATGTATGTAACTGGAGCGGTGACAAGCAAAAGTTGCGGTCTACTGAGATCACTCGGAGCGGTAACAAACACAGGGCTGGAGTTCGACTTTGCTCCGATGGTTTTGACCGGAGCGAAAAAATTTTAGTACAGAAAATCTATCGCTCCGACCAGAATCCTCGGAGCAAAGTCGAATTCCAACCTGTGTTTGTCACCGCTTCAGTTACATACATTAGCGCTCCAACCGAAAAGTGCTCTGGAGCGGGTGGAGCCATCGGAGCTTGCCCATCTCTGATTTAAATTGATTTCAATATAATCTTAACTATTTCAATTTTCAAATGTTTCTTTATTTATTTTTAAATATAATATATGAATTAAACGAAATTTTTGTTGAGATAGATTGATTAATATCAATTATATTCAAAAAAAAAACTAAATCAATATATCTTTTATTTTTCTCAATATAAATTAAAATGTATCTTGTCATTTTTCTCTTAAAAGAAAAAAGATAAAAACCTGATTGAAATAACATCATTCCATTGTGATAAAAGTGCATTTGTAAGCAAACAATCAGGAAGTTCTCTTTTAAAAGATCATAAAGTGTTCTTCCTCTATCAATAGCATGTAAATTAAGTTCAGCAACTATTTTTTTTGTTTTCCTTGTGATGGTGCAATACGAAAAAGACCTTGTTCATTTAAACTATTTTCTAAAAGTCTAATACATATTTCAATAGGATAAGCAATAAGTGTATCATTTCGTTTTAAACAATGTTTAGCAAGATCATAACCAAATGATGGAATTAATTCATCATTTTCTAATCTTTGTTCAATTTCAGGCATTGGTGATGATAAATATTTCGATACATGATTATAAAATGTATTTTCTTCATATAAATATTGATAAAAAAGTTTAATTGTTATTGAATGTTCTTCACTAGCAACTTTATATGTTTCAGCTGCATATATATCATGTGATAATGTTCGAGCTTGTTCACATTCACAACGAATATCTTCTAATTCACGTAAACGTTCATCAAAATTTGGTAATGTTAAACGATCAGATCGTGTTTGAAATCTTTAGAAAAATCAAAAGAATTTCTTCTTTTTTTGTTTTTATATAAAATTAATAAACGAACTTTTTCCAATTGGCATCAGCTGCTTCTAATTTTTGTTGAGCTTTTTCATAATTATCTCGAAGTTCAGTCATTGTTTGACGAATAGTTGACTTTTATAAATAAAAATAAAAATAAAAAAAAGACAAGGTTCTATAATTACTTGTTTATCTCTGACTTGTTCAATAATTTTTTTTAATTGTTCAAGCCATTCTTTTCTTTTTGAATCAATAAAATCATGTATTTGAACTAAATCATCAATTGTTTGATTTTTAAAACCGATGAAGCTCCACTTGTTCCATATGGTAAACGATAAGAACGTGCAACATCATTATCAATACTTTTATTTAACTAAAAATAAATTTCATTTGTTTTTTTTTTAAAATAAATATTTTTAATTAACTTACAAAATCCTTATCGGTTTTCCAAAGATCAGATAATACTTTACAAGCATCTCGAATATAACGAACTCGATTGTAACAATCAGATATATCATCATTTCTTTATTAAAAACAATAAATAAATAATAATATTATATATTCAAATAATTTCAATCAATATTTAAATATTTTATTATAATTTATTAAATTTATTTTGATTCGATTTCAAAAACACTCGATCATTGATTTTTCGATAGACTTTATGTATATATATATAAACTTGTTTTTAAAAAATGATCAATCTTTAATTAAAATAATTATTTATAAGAATTTTCATTATTTGATTTTAATGATTAACGAAGATTTTCTATTTAGAATTTTTTTTAATTTCATCAATATTTATCCATGATGAGAGAGAAGAGAATTATCTATTCTATTTCTATTTCTATAAATTAAATTGTTTAAATAATAAAAAATTAAATGCAAAAATATTCTATATGAAAGTTGTTCTCACTTGCCCAAATCGAAAAACTCTCGTTAAATTCAATTGAAATTCGTCTTAAATATTAATTAGTCAAATTAACATAGATATATAAAAAATTCGATTTGATTTTTTTTGTTTGTTTTCTTTCTTCTTAAATGTAAAATTTTTCAAAAAAAACTAAAATCTTATTTTCGACACATCTAAATAATTGATTTAATAACAGAATATTTATATTGAATAATATATTATTCTTCGATATTTTTTATTTCATTAATAAAGAAAAAACAAATTCCTCTTGATTTGTTTCAATATAAAATATTCTCGATCTCAATTGACTGGAAATAATTATTCAATTATTTGAATAATCAAACAATAATAAACCGATGAATATATTTTAGAAAAATTTTTAAGAAATAAATTTTATTGAATATAAATCGAATAAAGAATTATTCAAATGATCGAATTAATTTAATAGAGATATTTAGTATTTTAATATGAAATTTAACGCTTAAGAGCCCAATGTTCCTTTCAAGGGACATTGTGAAAATTTCAATAAAACATGCAATAATACACTGTATACAATATTCTTTGTTTTCTTCGACTTAAATGATCTTGTGGCTCATAAAAAAA